AGCTTACAAACAGTCAATTAATTTCTAGCTATTTGCATATTATATACCGAAAACCAAAAGAATATCAGAAAGATATGTTCATTCAACTCAATGAAATGCGATTGTTTAGCAAAATGCAGCAATTCTGATCAACGTATTCTTCATCTTTTCTCAAATTCCAACTCAAATGTCTGCCTTCAACATTTTAATCAATAGTTAAGCATTTTTTCTGGTTAAATAGCAACAAAAATGTTAATAAATCATTTTGTAAATAACTCTAAGAGTTATTTCAGCAGATAAACAAATATCATCATAAATTAAATTAATTTTGACTTGAACATTGACCAAATAATAATGTACTTTTTAAATCTCACTTATGTACATAATTCCAGGTCAAGTTAAAGACAACATCTTTCACATGTATTACAAAAAATATCGAAATAGGACGTAAAAGATGTTTGTTAATCACAATAATATACACTTTACCAGAACGTAAAAAAACACTCTTAAATGCCAGGAATATGAAAATATACAAATCGTTAAAATTAGGATTGAAGTACACGAAGGAACATATGGCACAACATCTAAACAAAATAACTAAAGTTAGGAGATGAAAAAAACGATTGGTTGGATTAAATTTTTGTCCTTAGAATATACACATTCTTTTAAGCAGCTGGTATAAATTAGAATTTGAAAAAAGCAGTACTTAATTGTTCATTCAAATAATTGTAATTATATTAATAAATTTTAAAAAACTTTGCAAAATTATAAAGGAATAAAATATTTACAAAGTTAAATGTACATTAAATTATCACAAAATAACTTTTCAAGAATGCCTGCAGTAAAAGACATGCACAAGAAGTTTTATTAAGCAAGCAAATTTTTTAACAATGTCTTTACTATAACGAATAACAACTTAAAAAATCACTGTTTTCAAACCTTTCATTATATTCCTGTAGATTAAAATTTTGTAATTTTGACTGTAATACAGTAATACCATGAATTTCCATTCCATATATGCACAATAAAACACGCAGAACTCATTTATTTTGGATACTCGAAACTGTAAAATATTAATTTACAGAAATTAAATCAAAAATTTGTCATTGTGTGCACAAAGATGAGATGACATAAAGAGTATTTCATTTTGCGTTGTTAGGCAAAAGAAAAGTCACCACGCAGTGCTTTTTTTTGAGATAAAATTTTTTCAAAAAATTTATTCAAAAAAGTATGTTTCGATAATTAAATGCATGGCATGAAGATAGTAGTTAGCAAGGAATAGAAATAGAAATTGGAAATTGTGCTAATGAACAGAAAAAGCTAAATTTGGAATATTCTTAAAGTTGAAGCATTGCTTTAAGAAATCAAACAGAAGAAGTAATAGTAGTAGAGAGAAAATTCTATTTGCCTTCTAACAACAGACAAAGTATTGAACCTTTCAATAACGAAATTTTAACACTGGAATGTAGTAAAAAGTGGAAATTTGAGCAGTGAATAGTCCATTGGGAGTATTTCAATAAAAATTTATAATTTTGTGCAGTTGTAGTCTATGATTTAATTTGAGCAAAAAGTCAAAACATAATTGAGTTCTTTGAGTTTTCCTCAATAGTGAATATTTGTTAAATGAACGCAACGAGAATGAATTGAACTGAAGATATATAGAAAAAATTCTTCCTTTTTACAAATTGCAGCTTAAAATGACTTACTTATAATTAAGAAAAAACAACCTGTGTTGCCAAAAAAAGTACCAAAACAATTGGACAGTTACTTAAAGCAATAATAATAATAATAATAATAAATGAAAAAAACAATCAAAATTTTTTTACAAACAGGGTTAGTATGAGCAGTATTATTAATAAGTTGCACTTTTGAAATGTTTGAGATAAATTTTGTAATCAAATTGTATTCAAATTTTATTAGTACTAAAGAGTATTTATGCGTTGATTAGTTTGAGAATTCATTTTTTTCATGGAGATGAGGAAATTGGCGATTTCTGTCACGGTTCTTTTTGGTGTTGTGATTTGCATAGACGAAATACGTCAATATTGCTATCATCGTTATTATCAATGCATTGAAGAGAACGATGGCGATAAAAGCATTGAAATAAATCGTATTGGGTCTAATAATATCATGGAATTTTGTTCTAATCACACTCAAAATATCCTCCCATGTCTCGTTAGCAAAGTAACAAAATTTATCCAATAAATGCCATTTTCTGCAAATAACTAAAAGATTTATTTATGCGATGGTATTAAAACTAAATAGCAACGTGCCATGTTGGGAGTGAGAATAAGAAATATTTATAAAGAGAAAATTTTTTATATGCAAAGGAATTTAAAATAATAGTAAATATGAGTCTTTAATTTTCTATGCTAAATAAACTCAAGTTTCTATAATTTATTATTAACTTGTGAGAAGTAGAATCTTCGATGTACCTGTGATCATGATCGTATCGTAATGAGTTTAAGATAGTAGAGTTTGTCAATTTCAACTTAGCTCCCATTTGCTTATTTTGTTTTCAGTAATAATTTTTTTTCAAAGGTTTTTCAGCTTGGCAACACTATTCCGATGTCTACATTAACGTTTTCCGCTATTCTCAATGCTTGTGCCAAAGATACTCTAATGAGAGGAAAATCAGTTCCTCTTGTAATTATTTTTCACTTGAGCACCTCTTACTTACTTGCAGATATACTTCAGTGAGAAAGTTCCAAGTGCTTGAATATTTTGTTCATTACATTTAACTCAGAAGCCAAAAAAATGTAGTGAGAATTTAATGACGCAGAAAAATTGCTTATTTATTTATTGTTTCAGGCAGTACAAAGAAATATGAAATATATTGCAAGGTTTTATCTATATCTTTGTGCTCATACCAATATCATTGATTTGTATCACAATAAACAATGCTTACGGTAGTAATAAACTTTTACTAAATTCACATGAATGCTAATGTTTATCACTGCTTTTAAAATTTTGCTCATTGTTTGTTGTTATTTTCAAGAATTAAAAATTTTCAGATACTTGATAAAATATTGTGTTTTAAGAAAACCCCGAAATGAATGTATGTTCTATAACTGTTCTAAAATTCAGCTTAATCTATCGAAGCCAAATGAGCAAAAAATTATACTGAATCGACAGGATAAAATGACAATATGTGCCGTGAGTAGATCAGGCAGTCTTTCTAATCCATTGCCATACAAAAGTTGTTTACGATGCCAACATATTATAGTTGTTATCATTATTTGGTTATGGATAAAATAAGATTACTTTCATTCCTGGCATATTATTTAAACTTTTAACGTACGAAAATAAAAACAAAAGCAAGAAAATAGCGAGTATTCCACATGAAACTAAGGCTTGTAAATTAAAAGGCAAATCTAATTTTTCCTTATATTCTGTTTTTTTTTTTCAATACTGCAAAGATATTTCTAAAAATGTATGATTAACAGTGATTTAATTAGAATGAAAGCATATTATTATTGCCTACAGTAAGTGGAAGAAAATTTACAAGTTGCAAGACTAAAAAGAATTTTATTGAGAAATATTGATTAAATCAATGTCACAAAATTTAAGAAAAATTTTAATGTAATAAAATAAGTATGCATCGGTCTAGCATTCAATTTAACATTGTATATAGAATTCAGAAGTAAAATTCGTAGGGCAACAAAATGCACTTTTTTTAAACAGATACAAGAATGTAAAGATAAAAGTTTTCACTTCTTAGTTGAGCAAAGAAATTAAAAAGCAACAAATATTTTCATTTCTGAAATCGATTGTAGTGCAAATTACAATAATGTAACTGATAAAGTGTGATAAACAATTATTTACAATAAAAACTAGAATCTCTGTTAAAACTGAATTTTCATACAGTTTTGTACTGTTTTTTGGTGCACAACAAATATTTATCTTGCTTATTTTATATAAAAAATTAGTCAGATAAGAATTTGCATTTTTCGAGATCACTAAAAATTACAAAGATAACCTGAAAAATAAATAGAAATATATTAAGCAATATTTTTTTCTGTATTTAAATGGGAAAAAGAGTGATAAAATTTATGTAAAATATTCTCGCGTGTAACACATTGCATAATATTGACAAGAAAAAATCTCAAAATTTTACAAAACCATTTTATACAGAAAAAATCAACGGAAAAGGAAACGTGATAGAAAGTTACGAAGTCTGTTCAGTGGCTAAAGTTGAAGCATACAGAAATGGCTTGAAAATGGATGAATATTCAGAGAGCAAAATATTCAGAATAAGACAAGGAAGGCATTAAGGATGATTAATCTTAAGATCAAATAGTTAAGAGCAGAAAGTATAAGTAAAATTGCGACAAAAATTTCACACATTTATTTTTCATATCTATTCTAAACATATACATAGGTAGAGCACAGCATTGATGTACTAGATAGAATGATAAAAAATTTTTAAGTAGAAAAAGTTATGAGTAAGAAAAGTTAAAAATTAGTTGCAAACAGATAAAATATAGCAAGTTACATGCCATTTAAAGTAGGTAGGCAATGTAAAAAATTGTTTTGATGCAAAAGAAGAAATTGTGTAGTGTAACACTGAATTGAATAGTAATGATTTTACGTAAACTGGTCAAAGGTTAATCACATGAATAGACATGAAGTAATTTCTAAATTAACCAACAAATATATTTACATTTTGGTGTCGAATCAAATAAATCTTATACATAAATAAGTGAATGAAGCAGTCCCAGTAAATATCGATTAATGGAAAATTTTAAGTTGTTGATGTAAATGGGCCAAGAAGGCAAGTTGATTTGTTTGTTTAGTTACTTACTTATTTGTCTGATTTAATGATAATGGATGGATGGGTGGAAAAATAACTCGTAGAATGTTTTGTATAAGAGCAGACAATTTGAGTCAAGAAATTTTGTATGTAGCCAAAAAGTATGAGTCTTTCGAGAAGTAAGCAAGCATGAAATAGACTGCATTGCTCGTGCTTGACTAATTAGTAGTTAGTCAAGCACAAGCATATTTATCTTATTTTCAGAATTAAAAATTTAAGAAGTCATAGAGTGCTATGGTAATGCGCTGTTAAGAGCTATCACATGTCCGTTTTCATTCATATTCATGAAGCTGCGTTAATAATAAGCCAGCATCCTACTTTAGCATCTCATCAGAATCGAATGCTTACTTTGTATCTTACTTACATATTATTATTTTCATGTATATTGTTATCAATAATTATCATTTATAAAAGCATAAAAATATGAGAAAATGATCTCGATTGAACTTTATTAGTAACCCATCCTTGTTTCCATTCGGATTCTTTACAAAACAATTCGTCTTGAATTTAGTTCCTACTAGATTAGGTCTCATCTTATTAGATCAAGTGTTTACCTAAGAGACTTTTTTTTAGGCCACTTTCGCGTATGTGGTAATAATAATATAAATAGATTAAGGGAGTCAAAAATCTGTGGTAACTTCAAAGAATGTAAAGTAGCTCTCGTGTTGCATCAGAAATCAGAACGCAAAAACGATGAGCAAATGAAAATATTGATATACAGGCACAGAAAAAGACAGAAGTAAGGAGTAGATGTTGCGCGGTTATCGTTCCTTACTAGTATATGCTAATGTAGATAAGAAAAGAGTACCAAGAGCCGGAATACTCAAAATTAACCTCAGTATTTTTGGAATAAACAGATATGAATAACGCATCATCCACGTTAACTACTCAATTAATCTTTTTATTTCACTTACTTATCAAGAAACTTAACTGTTACTTACGTCCATTCTCATTTAAATCTTGTCTGGTATCTTCACGAAACACTAATATATAATCTCATGCTGTCATTGCAGTCAGTAATCATTAGAATAATGTCATTAGTTATCATACTTGTCTGCTCAGCCATAATCATACCTTTACAGCAGCTATAATCAAGATTATATTCCTGTTGTTGCATGTATAATTACAAATACTGATGCTTCATGATCAATGACACATAAATATCAAATAAATTCGAAAGTAAAAGCAAGGAAATTCCTGACATGTATGTAACAAGCAGAATACTGGACAACTCTGGCATGTCTGAAAAGGAACCATGAAGTGTGACCTTGCTAGCAACTTCACAGTCTGCTTCCTGTAACATCTTAAACTGCTGATGCTTAGCTAAATTATTTCTTCTTTGCTTCCAAACTATCCCAATATTCATGAAATTTCATGATTGCCTCGTAATAACATTAAAATTCATTCCTAAGATTTCGCTAAGATAACAAAATGACAAAAATATTGCAACTTTTGTTTTCTTTAGCTGCCGTGAGCTGAATTCGATTAAATACAGAGACGCTTGAAAAAAAATGGCGAACCGAACGAACATGAAAAAAATTATCGTTTCTCGAGTTGGTTTTATTTTCAGACACTGGTTCTGAAGAATGTACAGCAGAACTCAAATAAACTTCATTAACACAGTTTAATTTTCGTCAGAATTGAACAGTGTATGAGCTTGATGATGAGTTATTTAAAAATGAACATAAATTTTGGAACTTGTCACTAGCTCAGATATCGAAGAGAATATAGAAGCAAAATCAACGAATGGCATGAAAATCACAAGTAAACAATCTTCACTAGCTGAAAAGTAATAAATTTCATTTCCCAAACTTGTTTTCGAATTGTATGATGTATAGTTATACATCATACAATTTGAAAACAAGTAAAATAAAATGCAGACAGTTATTTTGGAATAAGGACTGCACAAAATAGCAACAAGCAATTTGAATGGTAGTCAGAAAAAATTAAAACTAATTTACCCCCCAAAATTATAATGAAGTTTACTTTAATCGAATGTGGAAAAAGTAAATTTGACAGGATTCCAAAGAATATCACAAAATAATAAATATCCTTGGCAATAAATTAATTTCAATAACACAGTTCATGCTTGAAGTAATCAAGCAAGTTCTGAAGTAGTAAATCTGATATTAATATATATCGTCTAGACAAATAATATAAGGGAGCTATCTATATTTCATCGGTAGTAATTGATTCTTGATATACCAGCATCCTAAAAATTTATTTAAGCAAGTCCTGTTTTGTGATCCAAATATCGCCTGTACTCGTTAACGGTTCTCCACTGAGCATTTCCGAGTACAACATGTGGTCTTTTTAATTTCACAAATTCGAAAGCCACATTTGGATACCAATCATTTTTACGCATTAAATAACATGCAACAAACATTGCACTACGAGTTCGGCCAGCTTTGCAATGTACATAACTGAAAATCATTAAAGAAATTACCAAAACCGAAAAAATATTCTTTACTTTTTACAGCATTTTTCGAACTTTCAATTAATGCATTCTATAAAAAAGATTCATTTACTCCATTACATTCAACGTTTCCAAATTAAACCAAATATACAGTAAATTTTTACATATATCAATTCGTATAAATTTAAGCAGGAAAAAAAGAGAATCATGCTTACACTGATTTGCCCTTCTGAGTGTTTTCATCAACAAATTTCAAAGCTTTGTCAATTGATGATCTGGATGCTGTACCTACGAAATCCGTCATTGGCAACGCATAAAATTCTACTCCTCGTTTTCTCCATTCTTGCTCATCCACAGCTTTCCAAACTACCCGGTTTTCGTATTCTAAAATACAATAAAAGTTGTGATCAACGACAAGCACGTGAATATTTGAGTTCTTTCATTACTTCACATGTAATTAAGCTAAAAAACAACAGATCATAAACGAATCAGGCAAATTACGATACCTTCAGTGCAACATACGACTGCACCAACGTTTTCTTTTTCTATAAGCTCCTTGATCATGCTTTTGAAAGGAAGCGCACCAAGGACAATATTTTCATCAATACGACTATACCAAGTCCATTTTGTTGGTTGCAGGTAATTTCGCAGTAGGTTAAAACCCAATGTAGGGTAAAGCAATAACCCTTCAAACATGACTGAAATGAACAAAACAGTTGTTGTGCTAAGGAATAAAGAAACTAACTTCCTCAAGTTTACACCACATAGACGCGTAAACCGCCCTCCAATCACAATAATCTTTGCTAATCATGATAATTACCATTGATTACCTCTGCCCACATCTTCCTAATTTAATTTACTAATATCAATGTCATACACTACTAAGAAAAGATTTTTAAGTAGTGAAAACTTGTACTCTCTTCACCCAATCCAAGTGCCTTCAAAATCCCTTTCTTCTTCTGGCATCGCCTAGAAATAATTCTAAAGAAGTAAACTCAAACAACATATTATCCCTTGCTCGAAAACAAAACCCATAATTTTAAAATATATCTACACAGTACAATAATCCTTATAGCAGTGAATTCCCGCCCCAAAGATAAAAGACCTAAGCCCAGCAATTAATAACAACAGTGTCTTCAACATAAGTATATAATGAATAAGGCTCAGCACAACGACTTGTAATTAGGACCAGATTGCTACACTTTATTAAAAATAATTACCAGCTACACGTCATATTGCAACAAATTAAATTTACTAACTGATATGGAATTTAAGATTATTTCATGCGCAAATTAGAGGCAAAACATCTCAATAGATGTAGTGGAAGAGATACCTCCATGTAAATGACTCATAATCATTCTTGGAACAGAAATTGCAAATAAAGATGCTTGAACCGAATACTCTTCTGAAACGAAAGGATTTGCTTGTTTCATCGCATCAAATGGATCTAGAAGCCGTCCACCACTAGGCTATATATTCAAGGAGGAACTTAAGGTAAAATGAAAACTACATGAACTAGAAAACGCTCAGTCCCTCAATTTTAAATAAAAACAGCTGACAGTTCATGTATCTATCAACGAAAAAATAGAAAGAAACGTCACTTTTGATCTGTTACATACTGATGAATTAATATTTCTAATAATAAATCGACAATATTTTAGGTTAGTAGAGATCATTTGTGATTCCATTATCCAGTAGAACGTCATAATAGCTAGACGTTAACAGTCACTGCGAAAGTTGCTTACTGACAAAAGTATAGAAGTTATAAGCACTAGAAACCTGTAAGTTCTTACCAGCAGGAAATAAAAACTACAATGAACTGGAAAATAAGATTCCCCAAATGAGAGAAAAATAGTTAATTTCACAGCAAAATCACAAAATACATTATAACAAAGCAAACTGAGAGTAAATTAAGAGATCAATTAAATAATGAAGGAGAAAAACAAGACTGCAAGACTGACAAGTATTACTTTACCTGTTCATAACTGTAATGAAGGTTAATTTACATGTGATAATTATAAACAATTCAAACGTTATTAGCCAAATATGCTCTCACAAAAAAAATGCAAACATTTGCTATCAACTATTCGACAACTGTATTATTTCACGTTAACAGCTGCATCATTTCAAAAGCATTAAAAAAAAAAGAACACAAGCTGGTAGTTCATTCATAACTCCTATGAATGAAAGAAGACATACAAATGTTGCAAAAAAATGAATATTGCATTTTGCTAAATAATAATGATTTATTTTTTATAACAGTGAGTCGTAAATATCTCTAAGTTAGTTGCATTTCCAATATTACAAACTTGAAAAAAAAACCTTAAAAGACTATTACATAATGACAAAACATTTTTAAATCCTGATCTTCATTAGTAAAGTACAAATTAGAAATAATGGAAAACTAAATTACGCCAAACTTCGACGTTTTAAACTTTTGAAAGTAAAGTTGTGCTTTTCCACAACACGAAATTTAGAGATCATCAAACATATTTGGAGATGGATGAACAACAGAAAATTCATGTCCTATGCTCTCAGTCATACCAAATGATGGATACTGTTCACTGTCATCTGCTATGAATGGTACACGATCACTGTATTTATGAGAGCCTGCAAAAAAGTAATTTCATTAAAAAGGAATAAACACTCGTCCGCTTAATCTACAATTTTTATAACTCGAGCTAAGGAAATCATAGGAAAATTCTAGAACCAATGAATAAAGCATAAAATAAACTACATGCTGCAAATACAAATGATTAATCAACTGATGAGGTAAGATTTAGAAATTCTTGAATTCATTTAATCTGGAAAAAGCTAGTTACAAAAAATTTCGCTCGTTGAAAAAATACTCATTAAGCCTGAATAATAAAGTCAAAACTGCGCTGATATTAAATAATTAAGTAAATACACCACTTACCACTTATCTCTCTATATATTATATATACAGAGACAACAAATATTTTTCCCGATATATATGGTAATTTTCATAGATTCACCTGTAACAGGCGCCTTTGAAGTCAATTTTTCGGTCCAATATTGATTCTTTTCTTCTCGGTAAGCTGTGCGTGTCATCTTATTACGTTCTAGAGATCATGAATAATCGTAAGGAAGCAATACCCAAAGAGCTGGTAAAATATAACTCAACATTACCTATTCAAGTTTGTTCGTTATATATTGCCTATAAATATTCCTCAGGTTGATCACATGATATTTTGAGTCCTCACTACAATGTGTTACCTACTCTATAAGTGAATATGAGCTTAGAACGTATCCGGACAAAACGTATTACCCTAGCTTCTGATCGATGTCACAGTGAATTCTAATATGTAACAACTTACCTAACAAAACAAGAGCTTTACCGCTACTAATCGACTCCACTGTCATTTCGTCGTCACTTACAAACTGATCGATACCAAGTGAATGCAAAAATCGAGTTCCCAATCAGAAATAAGAAGTTAACGTTTAAAGTAAATGCAGTAGTGACTTTAAAAATTAGGAATTATGAAGAAATATGAGGAAAAAAAGAGAGGATGACTAACTTGAACCAAGTTCCAAGGGCAAGTAAAACAATTAGGATAGGAAGATATATGTTAATCCCTTTTGCCAAAACTGGTATCAAGTCTAAATGACCCATCAGCTGTAAACAGTTACTTGATGAGAAGTTGAAAATGCTATCATCAACCAGGTACTTAATATTCTTAGATAAAATAAATACTCAATCCAATTCTTTTAGGCACAATCTTATTAATTATAAAATAGATGCAATTCTCTTAAATTGCTGAATTTTAAAAACTTCCCACCAACTAAGTCAATTTATACCCACTACTGAAAAATTTGATCCCATGGTTTGCGATTCCAGAAAAATGTCACATTCCCAAACTTACTACTAAGTTTTTGGCGAAAACATCGCTTACCTTAGTGAATTGTGTCTCAACTCCAAAATCATCATTCGAAGTGATATGCGAGTCAAGATGAATCATTCCCAATACATTTAAGCATATTGGTGGAGTTAGACGACACAGAAGGCTGCAACAGACATAACAAATATTAGATGAGTAAATTTCGTGAATCCCTCTTTTAACACTAATTTTATACAAAGTCAAAATCTTTCAACAAAGTCAATTCCTGTCATATTTGAGGTAAAAACTTGAAAAAAGGTGTAAGTAATGTGCAGAACGTACATAGCACTAAACAACAAGCTATTTTCATCAGTCATATGATGCGGATCGAGATGATAATAACGATATATTCTCAATTTAAATACAGTATAATACGCACAGACACAAAGATATGATATGATTGCAGTTGCACAAATCTAAAAAACTTCGGTGTGCAGTAACAACATGGACTTCAAATTAAAAAAAAAAAAAAGAAACTTTATATGGAAGAAATCAGGAATTGTGAATCTGCTTTCAATGGTAGTCATCATGAATTTGGATAATATGAGATCTAACAAAAATAAGATTTGAAAAACACGTGTTCCAGTAAAAAAAATATTACCTGAATGTAAAGGTAATGATAACCGTATGCTACATAATGAATAATAAATGCAGCAAGCGATAAACGAGGATGTACGATGAAAAACGTGCATTCACTCCACATAATAAATGCAGTCATAAGAAAGAAGAAAAGCCCAAAAATCTAAAAAAAATGTTACCGAAATAGCTTTAAATTAAATGTATTTGCAACAAAACACAACAGGTTAGCTAAATACTTTGAAGAGAACGCACCCTTAACAAGAATTTTTTGCACATTACATGCCAGAAAAAATAAAACTGTGATATAAAGCAGACTGTACTTGCTCGATGCTTATTTTCCCTGAAAAAAAACAAACAAAGCATGAAGGGTGCAACCTAAACTGTTATTTTGCAATCTAAAAAAAAACTTTTTTATTCATCAAGAAAATCAAAAATTTTTTGAGCATCGATGAAATGATGACTTCATGGAAGATTAATATAGGTACATGATACTTTCTTAAATACAAAGAAAAATTGAAGGAAATTCAAACCGAACAAAATGACCAGTAATTTCGGCCTGATGAACGTCTTCCAAATATAAGGCCTGCCGAACTAAGGCGTTCCACTGTGCTTGTATTCTATGGTGATTTTGTATTGCATTGATTACACGCTTATGTAATCGTACCTACATTACATAAGCTTGGAATTAATACATTACAAAATCATCATAGAATTAATTAACAAATTAATTTTTTCAGGGTAATATCAAAACAACACCGATTCATTTAATTTTCAATAACAGGAAACAACGATATTTATTCCGTTTATATAGGTCATGATCAATAGGTAATAAATACCAGTCCCGTATCAGCATGATCTTAAATTCTTAGAAGTTTACAATTCACATTTAAAACTCATTCATTAGTATATCTTTAATATCCAACATCAAGAACCCACATTACCAAGAAAAATAAAAAGATACCAAATACTTTTTCCTCGATGCAAAGCTTTCATTATTCGGTTTAATATCTGAAGCTGCTAAAAAATTAGCATTTGATCTAGAAGTGATCTGTGATACCAATTCAGATGGAAATTTTGCCACAATTGTCCGCGCATATCCACGTAATGTATGTTCATTACACAGCGATGTTAAAATACTTTGAGCTTCCCTATAATCCCATATCAAAAATGCTAGATATCTGTACTACTGAGATAGCAAGCAAACTGAAAGAAGGAATGATCATTTTCGTTTCTTTATCCATTTACCAAATCTCATCCACTTTCATACTTCCATCTCTCAGTTTTGGTCTTCGCAATTACCGCAATCACAAGATGAAAAAAACTTCTTTATAAGAAAACATCTTTACATACCAAACAATCAACTTACTCAAAACTTGAAAAAATGTAAAAAAGCATATGGAAAATATTTCAAAACTATATAAATAAACCAGACAGTGTACGTGTGTAATATAATATTCTTATATGAAACGTTCAAAAAATGTACTTATAAATTTCTGGCAGAATATCTTCAGCATCATTTTTATCTGATGATAATTTGTCCACATCAAAATATGTCTTGTTCAGCCGATAGTCTGAAATTTCCAAAAACATTCACCTATGAGGAAAAACGAGCTTATTTTGTTGAAGGCACGGTTTCAATTACAGAAATTACCGCGAAAACAATGCAAAAACAAAATGAAATACCTTGATTCCCCATGAGCCAAAATTGGCGTGGTACCTCTACCAAACCATATCCTAACAGAATTACCAAAAAAAATAGGCCCCAAGTATTAGAAGCAGAAATGAGAATGACTTTCAGATGTTCCCTTAAAATTTATTATATCCCCTACTTTTATAATGATTTGCAACAAATATGAACCACAGCAAAGTAAAGAAGCAATGCTTTAAAAAAAACATTTTTACTGCAAAAATCAAAAGTATTCGAATGTGTAGAAATGCAAAGAAATAGAATTCAATTTTAAATGTAGCAAAAAATGCAATCCAAGTAAGACAAACGCATTCAGTGCTACTCCTTTCATAACTGCATACAGCATTAGCATGAAAAAAATAATTAGATACGCGCCGTAATATACACCATTACTATATACTGCTGACTGCAATTTCCTGCAAGCCGAAAAATCACCAGCATTTGAATAACCCTGCATTAACGGTAAAATAATCCTGCAAAGAAATTAATGAAAATTTTCAATCAATCAATGAAAAGTAAATTATTGGACACAATAAATGAAAGTTTCCTTCATAAAATTTGACTGCTTTTGGTCCTCTTTATTTTAAATCACTTCCTATTGAAGTTTCCTACTCCCATATTGATACCAAATTCAAATGCTGCTTTGTAATAAGTGAAGACAGCTTATACTCGCCATGTCGAAAATTGTGCTGTCCAATACACGACACGCCAGACTTGTAACAAAACATAGTTTGGCACAAAGCCTATGGGTTTTTCACATAATGGTATTGAAGCATTGTTGATTTCTGGAGTGATTTCAACTAGCAGCTTATTTTCATTCAGCCAACAGCGATTGTAAAAAGTCTGAAAGTTCGTAATTAGAAATTTCAAAAATTACTAGCAAACTAATTCAATAATTTATAAGATAAGCCTTAAATTCACCCTAAATAGCAACAACAAATGTTTTAAAATTTGATTGCAAAACACAAAAACTATGCGTAAATAAATAAGTTGCGATTTGTGAAACTGCATTACAACCTTTTCTTGCTTGTTTTCAAACGAAAAACGACACTTCAGAATGAAAAGTTGAGGAAAGCTTACAATTGCAATATCCAATGGTAAGATAAATATGATAACGAAAGACAAGAACCAGCTAATAAGTGTAGAGATCATAACGATGAAGTGCTGCTGTCGCCAACTGCCATATTTATTTAATAATAACAATGTTAGGAAAAATACACCACTCAGCTCGATCATCAATGGAACCGAAACCATCCTTAAAAAATAACAGTGAAATGATAACTTCATAGAAATACACGTAAAAAGAGAAAAGAGAAGTGCATTAAATAAAAGCCACGTTTGCTGTAATGATGAATTATTGCTTATTTATGATCGATTTGATATAACAATAAATATTGTCATCGCAACTTATAAACTCCATGGTTCAACACAATGAAAATAATCAACTACTAGATAGCTAACTTTGGTGAATTCCGCAAGAGGATAACCACCTACTGGATAGGAATAATGCTAACAGAAATATAATGTAATTGATATTGCACAAGTTGCAAGGGAAGAGGAACCTATAGTTACACACTTTTATATGGCTCAGATTTTAAACAAACTCTGCGCATTAAAAGTATAAAAAAAGTCTTTTTGATTTTCATTACAAAATTATTAACTGAATGACAATCAATATTTGATACTCAAAGACCGAAGCATCGGATAGTTCATTTCAAGTACAGACCTAATAGAGAGATGGAAAGATGAAAAACATTCTCTTATAAACTTGGTATTCATAACAGATTACCTACCAATAACAAACAATAATTCAGACACACGTTATTTGAAATACCTCTTTTCACTGGTAATTCGAAGTTAAATTCAAAGAGCTTGAAAATTAAAGTAATATTAAGCAAAGTTCCAAAACAACCTGCAAACAAGAATTTAAAAGTAAATGATATAACAGAGAACTGTACAATTTACGACATGTATGTGCATAAAAAACAAAACAGAATCTCAGTTATATACAGTTGCATGGCAAACAAAAACACTGACAACCATATTTTCATTGAAACACTTAACAATAAGATGCTTTAATAGAAAGATAAAAAAAGAAATAATTCATAAACAAAATGAAGAATAAAGAAATTAAAAGTACTTTGTACTTATAAACATTGATGGCTAATGTGAGGGACTTGGTAGAAATGAGGAGGATTAAAATCTCAAATCTCATTTTAAGAAATCATTCGTTAAGTATAAACAATCAATTCAACGATAAAGTGCTGATAAAACGCTATCTCCAAGCATTTAATGACAAATGATTAAATAACATTTGCAATTAGTATTCATACAATATTACTTATACTTCATATAATAATCAATGAGTGTTGAAAAAAGTGCAAAACCAGCAGCACCTAAAACAGCTGGCTTCATACCTGCACGAAAACCAAGTAGACCACCTACAATGCCTCCAGCTAACGTACCATTTTTCCAGTCGTTACGCGCTCGATAACTTTCTACTAAGCACTCAGTGCCAGTAAATAGAAAACCAATAGAAGCAAAATTTTTGCCATATGAACGCATTCGCGACTTCGATTCTAACCACATTTGCTTCAGTGTTGGCTATAGAACAAGTCACCATCATTTTTAGACCACACATCCATTAAAAATACACTTTTTTCAGAACTCTGCATATAAAAATAACCAAATTTTCAGTTACGGATTGTGCTAAATAAATTATCAAAATTACAGCTAATTAAAATAATATACTGAATAATTCATGATTTAAAAAAATAATACATTTGTTAAAACTATTAAAAGCACAGCAAGGCAACTGAAAACTATATACTGATGGATGTATAATATTAATAAGAGAAACCATACAATTTTAGTTGCATCAACGCCCCTCATTGATGACTGAGGATCAACTGAAGCAGTAAACAATCCGAAAAGAATTCCTAGACCAAACCCAGCAACTGCTGCAACTGCCGATTTACAAGCACAGTTTTCAGTAATTTGAGTAAACACCAACTCTTCCGGATTCATATCGGGTAAAGCAAAAGTCTGAAAACGATGATAAATTTTAAACACTTGAAACTACACAATCAACTTTCTACTATAAATCCATAAATTTGGATGCTACAATAATGGTCTGACAAATGTCAATATATTTTCGAAGCATATTTCAGACTTCAATTGACTATGTGTCTTAGGTAATAGTAAATAATGTAATCTTTAAGAATTTTTCATGCTAAAACTGATACTGTTTTTTTTTTCTCTCAACGCAAATAATCTGATCCAAACAAACCTAAATGTAACAATGCATGTATCGAAGTAAATATGAAAAGATGGACCTGAGAAAGCTCTAAAGGTCTACGATCAGGATTCCACGGTCTACTTTTAACCCCAATCATTTCATCCATCAGTCTACAATATGTAGATGGAACGTAGTTAATTTCTGGAAGTTCTGGATCCTTCATTTTCACATCTTGCACACTGAATGGATTTCCGAAAGGATTTTTAAATTTAGCCATCCTTTGTACTCCTGCTTCAACTTTTCCTCAACAGAAAACAGACATATTATTTATAACGACTAGTATTTATTCACTATATAAATACATGTTAACCAGCAAAAACAAATAGAAATACCGACTTAATTTTTAGTTTTCTTATTTATTAAGTTGTACCGAAGAAAATAAAGGAACGAGCACATCTATTTAACGCAGCCCGTTAGTAATATTTCCGTCACTCGTAATGCGTAATTTAAATTTATCAATTTAAAAGTTTCGTGGCAAGGAAATTCAAAACTGATTACTGTATGTTGATTGAATCCAAAACTTCCGCATTTAAAATTCAATTAGTAGTATGTAACAGAATGAGGGGAAAAAATTGCTTAGAGTTAGTTGAAATATGAGTTTACAAATTGTATTAATGAATGTTGATTATCTTTAAATTTGTTGGCATTTTTTTGATCATTTAGCAAATTAATAATGTTAGTTTCAGTCTAATTCAAGTAACATCTCTTTAAGCATTTCAAAAGTATTTTATTTCAATGCAAATATCAATTAATTTTTTAAAAAAATGTGAAAATTGTGTAAAAAAGCCAATTTCAGTTATTTACTTCATTGATGAATGTTACAAGTTTCAAGAGCTACATTTGTAATCACTGCACACATGTGAGTGCTACTAGTTTCACCTTCATATATTGTGGTATCTTATCGAGAAGTAATTCCACCGATCAGCATATTTTTCTCCTTCTTCATGCAACCCATCGATGAATTCTCATTGAATTGAATAAGAAACCGGCTCTTCTTTCACCCATTGGCGCATGCATGTATGTATTTATTTACAAACTTTCAACGATTGAATCACAAAATTTTCACATACAATTTTACCGTCACAGTAATTTATATAAATAAATATGTATGTATAAATATATCTGTACATTTTTTTTGTTTTTACTATTTCTCTGTTTTTTTTTCTTCATGCTATTACTATAAATTTGTACTTGAGAAGGTTTAAAACTGATCACCATTGATTTCTTCAGCTCATTCAGTATTTTTTTATGCGAAAATTTCGTTTTTGATTTTTAACTACTTGTTACAACAGAAATTTTCCATTGAATTTGTTACGAATTTTTTATAGCATATATATATATTTACGTTTTATTTTATACTACAAAAGAGTAAAAAAGAACATTTCATTTATATATTATTATCGCATAAAGTAAAGTAAAAATTCTGAATTGTTCTTATTTGCTTCATTGTATCAGAGTGATATCACGACAAGTCTAAAGGTTTGATAATTTTAGAAAGTCATGTTATGTAAAATTTTAAGGATTTCAATTGTGTCAATGAAGAGTTTTCTCAATTTCATTCAATATCTTCACTAAATCTCAATTTCTTAATTATAAACTGTTAGAAAATTGCAGTCTCTCGTCGCTCATTTATTGTGTCATGTATTGAAAAAATTTTTTGATAATTTATTTGTGTTTAAATCTTTCAGCTCAATGCAAGCTTCTTTCTTTATATTTGCCATTTCATTCTTTTGGATTGCTGTTGATGAACTATATGCAGGTTATGAAGAAAGTAAGATTATCTTTATTTATTTTTAGTGGAGTTTTTAAATTCTCTCGGGTTTTTGAACAAAAATAAATATACAGTTATGATGATTAAGTTGTATTCACTGGAAGATAAAGAAAATTTCCAAAAAATCAATTTTCATCCATGTCAGTCAAATTGCTTTTGTCAATCATGTTTTTGAACTGATCACTAATCTATTTTGATTTCTTTTTTCTCCTCCTTATAGAAATGAAAAAAGTAACTGGTTTGTAGTTTTGTTTCTACAAGTGAAATATTTGATTTTAATTATACTCAGGATATAATTTGAGAAGATTACCGCCTGATTTGAGACCAATAAGGGAATTAATTGGACTTTGGCAGTTAGAATCGAAATCTGGTGCTACACGGGACTTCAGTCCACCTGATTTGATTGATATTGCCATCAATCCAATACCTAAATTTGGTGCTCGTGCAGCTAACATCACGTCAGTTCCATTTTTTTCCAATTTTTAATTTTAAATTGTTAAAAAACTTAGTCGTGAAAGTTGCTTTATATTATCAAAAAGTGGTTGAGATTTGTTTATAATCATAAAAATGCGCTTGGACTTTGGCCATAAGACTTTTTAAGACTAGTTATTACTCTTTATTCAAGTTAATTTTAATAATTTTTTTCTTTTCTATACAATAAGAAATACATTTTTTTGTAATCAGTCACTTCCAATTTATGAAAATAGTACAAAGAGTTTTTAAACTGAGTTTATGAACTTTTCCCTTGATATCTTTACTTAATGTGTGGCATAGTTTTGAGTATTTATGCAATAAAATGTACAGCACAATTATGGATCTTGCATTTTAGGACTAAACTAAAACAAATAATGGTAGATGACTCCACAATATTGTTTTTTTAGCTAAATTACTCCACAATATTGTTTTCTTGGCTAAATTAGCAATTTTTGTTCGTAAATTTCTTCGATACCACTTTAAAGCGCAAATTTTACCATATATTATTATCATTTCTTCAGTTAAGAGGCCACGATTCGAGTTGTATCAATTCTTTAGTATCTAGAAGTAAAAAGTCATTCATATTTTTAGGCACACTTACTTTGATGGACAAAAAAATATCATTCGATCAGAGTATGGTTTTATGCCGGTAAAAAATGCAACAGTGCGTGATCCTCGAGTACATGTTGGATATTTAACTACTAGCAGTGAAGGTATTTTTTGATTTCTTTTGCTTAAAATTTACATCTACAGGATTTTTTTGTGAACAGAAATAACATTCAAGAAATACATTAATTGAATGCTTTCTACCGTTGCTTTTGGAATTTCTTTATCAAATTTTGAAGTTTTTCTAATAGCTGCAGACTTTGTGTTAACTTTGCGACTAACTTCTGAGTTGAAGCACGCATGAAGTTTCTTTAATCCACTATGGTAGAAGAAAAAATTTTAATCTTGGTAAGAATGAAGCTTATCAGGTTACTCAATGATGGAACAAGGAACAGCAGTCCGTCGGAAGATAAATCTACATCTCAAGCAATTTCTTCGCCGATCATTTTCTGTAGGAAGCAATGGTTTCGACTTAGATGTCCGAGAGGTATTTCTGTACATTGAATTTAATTCAAGTACTTAATTATTTTGTGCACAAAATATTCACTTCTCTTTCTACTATATCTTGACAAGTTTAATTTAAATTTCATAGGCTTGAACGTTTTCAAATTATCCACTATTCATAAAGCACCCATTACATATTTTTGTTCTTGCTAACAATATTTATAGTTTGAACGACGATTCGAAATTCTTGATCCTTATCATATGAGAATGAAAGTTCGTGCTGAAACTGCTGCGGGAATAGAAGGCTTTTCTGCATCATATCGAAGAATCTTACCTTAATTAAAAGATCTTTATTATTCGAGTCATTTTGTATGTAAGATAGATTATCTAAAATTTTTCTTAAAGTAATACTGTACTTTTAATTATACTTTTTTAACTTTTAGAGATATGCTTTTTATTTGTATCAAATATAAGCATTTAATGAGGTACTTTCTCACTAGGAAAATTTTTTATTTAAAATCGCTTCATATGGATATGTTTTCTGAGTTTATAATTAAGTTCATAATTTTTATTACATGTTACTGAAAAGTTCGTTTTTTTTTTTCAATTGCAGAACCTTCGTGACAATTTCGGCATTTTCGTTTGTTTATGAGTTGTGTTGTATAAGTAAAAGTGGAAGTGGTAAGGTTCGAATTCAGTTCAAATAATCGTAAAACAAAGAAGATAAAAGCATGACATAGCTTCATATAATTTGTTAAATTGATATTATGTTCTTTTACTTTGTATATTTTGTGACGTTTGATTGCCACAAAAAGTTTGACTGATTAATTATCATTCCTGATTCTTGATGAACTATTTATTCTGCAAGTGAAGTAAAATTGTTCATAGATTAAACAGTTGATAAATAGTCTTTCTTTTATTCAGCAAAATGTTATTCATTGTGTTCAGTTTTTAAATAAAATTACTTCAGTTCTAAATCATTTTAGCAAGCATATTTAAGTCAACTATAGCTTCATCGAGATTATCGAAATATATTGTTACATTTCATTACAACTTTTTACTAAAAGTCGAGACTTTGTGGAGATACTTTAAACAAAAATGAACTAGGAAAATTTTTTTGGTAAAGTATGACTCGTCTTGAAGCCATCTCTTAATTTTATTCGTGCCAAAATTCCACTCAGTAACGCTGTAGACGGAACAATCTGTAATCCGAATTAACCATTAAGTCAGTTTTCAAAATAAAGTTTGCTAGATGTCTGAGTAGTTTCACTGGTAATGGATGAAATGCAAAGTAGTATTTGATGTTACATGAACATGAAAAAGAATAGGCTTTCATACTAATTTAAAATATGAAAGAATGTGGTAGCAATGCTAAATATCAAATATAATTGAAAATAGTATTTCAAGTGCATAAGCCAACCAGAATTAATTACAGATTCAATGTCAAGAAATTGTTTTTCTTCCGTTCTCATATTTTTTGACTCTGGCAAAAATACACGGTTATAATTTTCTGCTGAATTATTATTTTCAGTGACAAGCAAGCTACAGTAAATGAGTACAATATTTCTGAATGCTTTAGTAATTCGTAACTTGGCATTTTTTTAAAAATTTTTGGCTTCATACAGCAAAATAGATTTATTTTTATCGAAGGAAGTAATTATTCAAGAAGAAAAATGAATACCAGGCAAACAAATCAAATTTTTAACAAAATAAATCAAGTCTAAAATAAATGTCCCTAATATCCTTCAAAAATATAATTAAAAAATGTGAGAACTTCACAGTTTCAGAAATACATTTGCATTTTTCAACTTTTTAATTTTGAGTCTTTGAAATGATAGTTTTCAAGTAAATAAATATGTTATAGAATTGGAATTGCTAATCAAAAGGGACAGTAGAAGTTAATGAGGTTTAGTACTTGCTAAATAAATTAGCAACTACTTTTGAAATCAGTGAAAATAATGTAATTACCGTAGTTAGCTTTTAAAATATTTTTATAAAATCCAGAAAAATATTTATTTGAAGTCATGTAAATTTAATAAACTATATAATGCATTTGCTGTAAATGAGTATTCCGAAAAATTCAAATGAATATAAAACTTTATTGAGGGAAAGTAATGAGGTAAATTTAATATCACACTAAAAAAATTGATAAATAACATTTGCTATTTTCAGTCAAGAAATATTATTAACTTTTCAATAATGGTAAGTGTTTTTTCAAAAATAATTTTTTTTACATATTTTAAAATCTTAATGAAGTATAAATGCATTGGAAAATGAAGAAAATAAAAAAAATGTAGTAAGTAAATTATTACTGAGGCTATTAGTTGGAAGCATTCCAGTAATTCGGAAAATTAAAGAATTGTTTTCTTGAATATTACAATTTCTCTTTGGACACGAATGGAAGTTGAATAAAGTTATTGAAATCCACCGAAAATTTCGATAATGTTAACATTTTAATTGGTGATTGCAAAATTGAATCTTCAGCAATACTTTATGAAAACAAATATTTTCAAGGTAGGGTAGAGAACATTTGAAAATTTCTGATAGCTGAGTAGTATTATGCATATTCATAACTAATTAAAGCAGGATATATTTTTTTTAACTTGATCGACGCATGTAAAGCAAGTTTTTGTTTTCAATCTAAACTGTGCGTCAGATTCCTTTTCGACGATATATTCTTCATATTATTAGTAAATACCAAAGACGTCACGTAAGATGCGCAATTTGTTATATTCTTCTCTTCACATTTTACATTTACTAGATTGAGTCTACTGCGAATAAAATCGAATTTCAAAATTACTAATTCCAGCATGACTTTTTATCTAATTTCTCCCCTAATTACTTTTTTATTTTTAAGTCTCAGATATATTTTTAGTATGTCAAAGTTAGTTTTGCACATCCAACAATTTAAGAAATCCAGATTTTTCTAATTATTACTTTTCAGATTTGAAAATTTTTTTACAAGTTTGTAAGTTTTTTGCATACATTAGTATAATAGTGCGTAAAAACTGATAAGCAGATATTTGATGATTTCATTATCAGTTGTATCTTAACGTCACATGCAGTGTCGACTCCCTACCAGCAGTACTTGCAAGATGATAACATCAGTGTTTCACAAAACTTATAGATTTACTGATTTTGTCATCGATAAAATTTTGTTTTTTCTTCCTCACTAAATCAAACTTGTATCTAACAGAGCTTTTTTATCGTTTTATTAAATTATCAAGTTTCATTATGAAAGCAAGTTTTCAATTATTAATCGTGCAACGAGTCACGTGGTTCATCATTAATTAATAACTGTAGGTTGTTAACATTTGATAACACTATTAAGAGATGAATTTGATTTAAAAATTTTCAATTCAAACTAATTATCGCCTATCCTCACTGAAAAAATATTCAAGCAATAAATAAATATCACAATCAGTGAGAAAGAAATGCTTTCAGTTGACTTAAAAAAAGACCTTATATTTTTTTCACATAATTTTGTTAAATATTATTTTCAGTTGCTAAATTTATTAGTAAAATTAAAATGATAGTATAGATAAATATTTATTTAATGCTTACCAAAAAAGAAGAGATTAATTATAAAGACCATGCATGTAAACAATAAAAATTAAGTAAATTCGATGTTTCGCATAATATTAAAGCTACTCACGAAATTATAATGCGTCATATTTTAATGCTAATTACAAGTTATATCATTTATCAAAATTAATAAAAAAAAATTATTACTGAGCAATCAAAAATGACAGTAGAATATGTTATAAAGTAATTTATAATACTTGTAGTTTTAATTATTATTTACATGTAATACATAATTTTTTGGCAGTAGCTGTGACAATATTTTAAAAAACTCCAATAATAATGCTGTATTTCAGAAAAATATTCCAAATATCTTTAAATAACACAACATATAATAATTTTAAAAAAGCCAATAATGTATGCAGCATTTGTAATGATAAAAATTTTTCGAAGTATGTTTTGTTATTGTTTGCATTTTTTTTGATTTGAAGTGATAATTTCCAAAAACAATCAGTGCAAAAATAGAGAAACTAGAAAAAAAAGAAAAGGAAACAAATCACTTATCACAATTTTTAGGTTTTGATTGATTAGAAGAAAACGTTACAAAATAAATTACTCAAAAATGATTAAAATCAAGCTGTTGTATGTGCTTGTGTGTATGTTGTGGGTGTGTGTGTATGTGTGTGTGTGCATGTGTGTGTGTGCATGTGTGTGTGTGCATGTGTGTGTGTATGTGTGTCTTTATGTGTTAATGTTAGTATGCGCGAGTGTTTTTCACATTTAATTTTGTTACTTCTTGATTTTATCATTTTGCTCATTTTTAGCAGATAATTTGAAAAGAATTTATAGGAAAGAAGGATGCAATATGGTTATATTTATGATTTTTTTGCTGTTTCGCAAAACAAACACATTTTGCAAAGAATCACTGATAAAATCAACTTTATTGTTTTGATTTAATAATGTAAATTTGAGTTTATTACTACAACAGCCATCATTTAGCCTTTTATTCGAGTACAGTTAAATAATTAGATTTAGTGCCATTTTTTTTCTCATCCTTAGTTTTTTTTTCGTTGTTGAGTGTATTCATTTTGATTTGAATATATCTCCAAAAGTCTGTTTTTGATTGATGTAAATTAAACGCATTGACTTATCGGTAATATTAAAAAATACATTTTTAAGAAGTTGATGTCACCATTACTGCAATAAGTTTTATTTCAGAATTGATATTTTTATAATTAATACAATTAATTTGAATTGTATTTAGCAATCTGTTAAATTTTTTCTCGCGTATGCTCTTTTTCCGTTGATTTAACGGCTACAAAAAGCCAAACACTGTGAAGAAATTGTGAAGAAATTTGTGACCTCAGTTGTTGGTGTTTATTGGCAATAAGTTCATTTCACTTTTTTTTTTACAAAAGCAACTTATTTTTGATTTTTTCGTATTTGAATATTTGTTTTTTAAAACTGTAAAAATTAGATAAAAATTAAAAGCAAAAGGGTGAGCGCATTTTAAAGAAAGTATCACACAAAATAGACACAAAAATGGTTACAAATGTGTAATTGCATTATTAAAGAAATTAGAGGTGTTTGATGAGCGGAGAAGACAAGTATTACTTTATACTCAATGAAAAATGAGACAAAAATTCACAAAAGAGTTTATAGATATTATTGTTATCAGCAAAGAGCATAAGCTAAGCAAGCATACTTTTGTCTATATCCAATCTTAAAAGTACTGTTTTCTAAACTGAAAATGACTTTTCTTTTTTTTTCAAATTAATAATGATTTAACTTTTTCAACTATTCTACAAATCGTTTCT